TTTTTAATAAAACCTGGTTTATGGTTTATAGTTGGTTTATTAAAAAAGAAAGAAAAGAAAATATCCGCCCTGTATTTTTTATAATACAGTATACTATTTCTCACTGGCTAAATCTTAACTTCTGTTTTGGATCCTAAAGCTATATATAAAGCTTTATAATATACATATAAAGTTTCATTTTGCCTTTTGCTATAACATGATCATCCTTTCCAGCACTACATTATGGTGGACCATAAACTAATATCTGGTTAGTCTTGGTCAGAATGATCTTTTTCCATCTTGAGGGAGAAAAACAACAACAATCAAGCAAAGTATCTTTTGAAAAATATGTATAGTGTTGTTTCATAAAATTGCTAATATATAAAATGTGTGAATAATGCTTAGGATACATTTTGAGGTGGCAAAATGCCAGTGTTCAACAAGTAAGAAATTATTAGGACACACAGTATAAAGGAAACAAAGTTCTTATTTTTTAGATAGCCTTCTAAAAAAATGAAAAACAAGAGATGAATTATGAATTAAGCAAATATTTTATGAGGATTATTAATTCAAGACAAGTAAACATTTCAAATAATTAAAATGATAATTTAATGATAGCTATGAATACATTTTACAGCAAAAGGCACATAAATTATTTTAATCTAATAAAAGTTTCTGACATTAAAAAAAAAGACTTGGAATAATGGTTAGCTGCATACGGATGTATCATTATTTATTTTTATGTTTACTTTTATCTAAAACAACCAGAACATTTTGCTTTTTAAAACAGCAGGTAATCTTTTGTAAATAATTGCATGGTTTAATAACTACGCTAGTTTACACAAAGATTGCAAGTAAGTTTTGTACAAACTTGTATGATATGTATGATATGTATGATATGGAAGATGTAGGGTGTTTTTTTGTTATCTTTGATGTACTTTATGAAGCCAAAAGTTCAAACATACTTCGTGAAACAGAATCTCTGCTCACTTACTGCTATTTCTAAGAGTTCATCACATGAAGAATTCTGGCCTCCTACTCATGAAATGGACTCTGAACAAAACTGACTCCATTGACCTTACATCATGTTTAGCATGTAATAGATCAAAATGTTATCTACTGACAGTTGTATTAAGCTTTTAGCAACAAACAGTGGAGAAAACAGCAGGAAACATTATCCACCTTGTAGCAAAGTAGATATTCAAAATACAAACAACACTGTAAGGAGCCAACTTGGAGCAGAGCATGCCAGTCATGTCAAAGTAAACACCACTGAAACATTCAGGAATTGCTGGGAGAATCAACATACAGAAGAATCAGATTTCTAAGGTACCAAATGTCAGAAATGACAGAGGCATGAAATTTGCCTAAAAACAGAATGCCCGTTAAAAAAATAGTAAAAAAAAGCTGATCTTTATATGATAAATCATGTCACTTGAAAAAATAAAAAGCCATGATGGGTATTGGCAGTCCCAAGTTTTAATTAACAAAACCCCCTAATTTTATATTTTAAAAAAGAGTAACCAGAAAAGATCAACACGGTATTGCAATGTTGTAACTATTACAAATGCACACTAGTGAGTACAAAATCTGTAAATTGCACATAGAAAAATCTGTTTTTCAGGATTCAGGTATGGAGAAAGGTAATCATAGGGATTGAGATGTAATTGATTTTCAGCCTCTCTTTTTATCAGCAGGTTGCTTTGATAAAAGTTTACTTGAAAGCGATAACGTTTTATTTACTCAGTTTTAGATTTATATCCTGCCTCCAAAATATCTTTGCCTTCAATTTTGTGTCACAATAATACCATGAGGTAGCTGGCCTGAAAGACAACAAGCGCCTTAAAACCATTCAGCAAGTTTTCATGTCCGAGTGTGGATTTGAACCTGGATCTCCTATCCCATTATCTCAACCATTGCAACTACCCCCCACTGTATGTCAGCTATTGGCTGATCAAAATCAACAGATGGTCCTCATTTCCTAACCCTTTGTCAAATTATAGTCAAATTAAGGTTGAGATATAATAGTTGTGATATACATGAATATAGGTTAATTTAAAATATGTGATTTGATATGAAAAGCAGGTGATGACTATGGAGGAGATGCATGGAAATACTGTAACCAACTGGCACACTTTCTACAATTTGCAATGGAAGATNGGGGGGTTAGGTTTAGGTTTAGGGGTTAATTTTAGGTTTAGGGTTTACAGCGTGCTTCTGTCTCCGAGCTGTTGTCGCCCTGTTGATGACGTCAGCTACGCGGTTTAGTCGGACGCGGTTTAGTCGAGCGCGGTTTTGTGGTGGAACCAAGTTTGACACCCGTGCAGTACATAATGAGAGACTCATGAAATTATTGACAGCAAGACTGGAGATTTCTCACTCAGTTTCTAAAAAAAAAACAATGGACAGTTTACAGAGACTGCTACATATCCTTTTCTTTAGTGGTGTTGGTATCCAAGATTGCTATTCTTTGTCCTCTGAACAGTACTGTATCACTAATGTGGAAAAAAAAAATCCTTTTAAAATGTAACTTATTTGGCAGAAAGTCTTATCTCATCAAGAGGGCTTTTTCCTCCCCCTTAATTGCAGACACAAAAATAAAACACTAATAACATAAAACATAATCCATTATTTCATATTTGGAGGGGCTGGTTTCTTGATATACTGTGGAAACATTACCCATTGCCTCTTAAAATGTAATTTCATAAAAGAAATCCGTTTTCCAAACTTCGTAAAGCATACAGAGACACTGGTCTGTTTGAACTGATGTCACCCTAGCTCCCAGGCACAACATCGGCTGATGGATATGACTGCATAAAGTGAAACTGGTTAGCTTTGTTTTTTATTAGTTCATACGGTAAATCTGACTGATGGAGCCATACTTTGTTTTCCAATTAGATATTAGACTGAGTTCAAATCCCGGACTGCTTTTCCAAGCATCAGTTCTGTTCCAGGCTGGGTTTAAAAATGGGAGTTTTTCTTTCACAACACAGCTGATACATGCCTGCCTCATACTGTATTGTGCTGAAGCAAGCCTGCCATTTCTGTTCACAACTAAGTTTCTTCATCACTTAGTTTTTTCCCAGCCCTTCTGGCCCCCAACGTTTTAAATATTTTCAGAACAAATCATTTTCAAACTAGAAAGTGGCTCCCCCCCCCAACAAAACAAAACAAGGTGGGGCATTTCCAGAGGTGGGTTCCTACCAGTTCGCACCTATTCGGTAGAACTGCTTCGTCAAATCTACCGAACCGGTTAGAAGAGGTTTT